AAAATTACTTCCTTACACTATGCTTCTCTATGTACTCCAATTTTTGAAGTCTTTATTCAGACTTCTCAAGGCCATTTTCAGATGTTTTGAGACCACTTTTATTCCCACATGTTCTGGGGACAGACAAAAGCAGTCATGCTTTTCCAGTAATGCAAAAACATAGCCTACAGCCAGCTGGAAGGAACTGTTGGATCTCATGTAGTTCAGAGCAAGGCTAACCTGGCTTAGAGCAGATTGCTTGAGCCTTATCCAGACCAGTTTTCAGACCATCTCCAACAACAGAGACTCCACAGTCTCTATGGTCAACCAGTTTCAGTGGTTAGCCACCCTCACTACCAAGGACCTTACTGGCAATTTTTGTAGGAAGCAGGACAACATGCTGAAGGATGCAGTTTCTTCTTAGGGCTCACTTCTGGTCCTGTTAAGTCAGGATCCAGGAAAATACAGAGAAGCCTGCTCCACATTGCTTGCTCTTCATGGCAAGAGGATTTCAGCACTCAAGCACAGCATTCACCAAAAATATTAAAGAGAGGGAGGAAGAGGGAATCACCTCACTTCCTGAAGTTATCACAAGAGAAACATGCACAAGCTATTTCAGGCTCACTGACCTGCTAAGAGCATTTATTTTAACCTCTGTATTACTTCCCATTAAAGACCATCCTGTAGCTTCTTCAGCATGAGATACATACTCAGGCTGAGCTCAAATGAGATAGAGAGCTCTCTCATGAAAGCATGCACTGGTGGACAGAAGGGCCCTTCTCATGGACTTTGTTGCAAGAAGAAAACGGCAGGAGCTACACACACACATACACCTAGGAGATTAAGGATGAGGGGTGCCACATAAACACATTAAATCTTAGAAACTTTTGCTTCTTAGTAGTTTGAGGAGTTACAAAACTATACATTCTAACTTCAGAGCATACTTATGTGTAATTGGATCCAAATGAAGAACACTAATGAGGTTATGGCTGAGTTAAGTGTTACAAAACAGACTCTCAAAATACTCTCCTTGTGCTTCCCGTTTATCTCCTTCCAGGAATTAGGAAAAACTTTCTATTCTGAACTCCTTTGATCTCTCAGATTTAGACGAAACTGCTCCCCCGCCACTTGCATCTCCAGCCTTAGAGACAGTCTTGACTGATCTTTGTCAACGGTCTTGGATGAGGCCCAAGGACAGCTGCTCTTGCAGACTTGTGTGCTTGCAAGACTGAAGAGTGATCCCAGTATCTTTCAGAGCCTTGATGTTCAGGGTTATTTCCACTGAAAATAATCTTTTCACTATTCAGATTTCACTCTCAGCTCAGCAGCAGTGACAGTGACAGAGTCCTCAGAGAGAATCACAACAGAGTACTAACATAGTAAACAGTTCATTATTTTTTTCTTCCTCCTGTTCAGGTACCCAGACATACGCACACACGTAGCTGGTGCTAAGTGAGAGCACTACACTATCATACTGGTCACCACAAGCACACAAAATACTTTAAATGAAGCATTCGACTAAAGCATGATTATAGACATCTTTCTTAAATTTAGTTTTTAATGATGCCTTTTCTGGGCTATTTGCCAACTAACAGTTCAGCAGTTATCTTTCAATAATAGATTTTCACATCTATATTTGAAGTAAGGAGCTAAACAAGTAGGTTAACAGCACAAGGGGCAGGTAGCTGCCTTGATGATTTGTGGCTACTTCCAGCACCCTCTTCTTTAATACTACCAAAATCTCTTCTACTATCCCAGAACTTAACTATCTCCCCATATAAAGACTGGTCTCCCCAGCCCTACTCAAATACAGCTAGCACCAATGATTTTGAACCAAGACAGTCAAGTCTCTTTTTATAAGGGATCCCACAGACCAAGTGTTAGAGTGCACCACATGAAGAAAAGGAGAAAGTGTTCACATTGGAGCCAAGAATAAGAGAAATCAGTAGAAAGAACACAAAAACATTTAATGAGATTTGAATTTTGATAACACTTCATTGTTGTAAAGAAGTCACAATGCAGATATGTTTACCTTGGCAAAAGCATAAACTTCAAAGAACTCCTCCCCTTTGTTGCATCACTATTTTTTATGGTTTCTATACCTAACTCCATTAACCACATGGAGATTCAATGTAGTTAAAGGCACAGAAAACTTCAAGGCTGTTGCATAAAGACATTTTACTAAATTATACACCAAAAACAATATATGCACCTCCAAAGGAAGCCTCTGTATTCCTGTCTTCATGCCACAATTGTCAGACAACACCAACATACACTTTTCTCCCTCCAAAGCAGCTTGGTGTTTATACAAGCAGGGCAGATTACATAGCTGTTAGAACTTTAAGCACTGTAGGTCATAGAGAACAGTACTTCAGCGTGCTCCCTTCACAAAGGGATTAGCATTGCTCGTCCTCCTCAGTGGCCTTTTCAGGGTTTGGAGGTCATCAGATATAAAAATCATACCTCTTCTCACAGGTGGGAAATTGCTCCTTCTATAGCAAGTATCTTTTTCTAGATGCACATTTTCAATTCTGACTGTGTTATACAGGTAAAAGCACTGAAGCTCTGCTTCAATTTTATAACTCTCAGTTTTTCTTAGGAAAAAAAAAAGAGAATAAAAAAAGAGAAAGGTTTAGTAGCAATGCAGTTGCCAAACACAGTACCTTGCTACCTGATGCCATTTAGAGAGCAAACTAATGATGGAGAAAGTTAAATATGTAATTTCAGTAGAAATAGCAAGGCAGCAGCACCAGTTTAGACTCAGCTAGAGAGCTTCAACTGTTTTAATTCCCATTAGTTGGGGGGAGGGATCCCAAAGCAGGAGACAGGGGAGAGTCAGCACAGGGCTGAGAGAGGACTTCTATACAGACAGAGCAGTAGCTGCTCTCTCCTTTTCTCCTTACCCAGATTTCTTAACTTTTCAGCAATTCACTTTAGAGCACAACCTCACAGATAACCGGTAGAGGCTAAAGCAGCTGCTGCACAGTTGGGAGGAACAGTTGAGCAGCCATAAGACATAAGAGAAGGGTGGGAGGGACAGGAGCAGAGGCAGGAACCCCTAAGCCGCCAAGGGTAACATGTACAGTAACCACAGCCTCCAGGGCACAGTCCCCTGCCCCAAAAAACTTAACTCCAGTCAAGGCCAGCCAGAGGAACTGGCGTGCCTCTTGCTTCACATTCCTTGGAAACTTGCCTTAACTAACTATGGAAATAATCATTTCATGTACAACATGAAGAACTACACATTTGACAGGCAGATGCTAAGGGCAACATCCTGCTCAGCTTGAGGTCAGAGGATGCTGAAGAGCCTAGAAGAGTGACGCAGAAAGACACATAATACTTCAGGAATGAAAAGCGGTGCTTTCTGGAGGAACAATAACAGGGATTCAAGAGATACAACCTTAATTTTAGGATATTTGCTCTTGCCTAGCTAAACAGGTCTTTAAATAACATTTGTGCATATATAAAAAGCTTTTCCTCCCTGTTTGTAGCTTTCCTCTACTCCCCACACCAATTCTCTCTCATATTCTCTTCCTGATTCTCCCTTTCTGCGTGTCCTCCTCTCACGTGCTCCTGCTGCACATGGGGCAGAAGTGCTCTGGAACAGCTGTATTTCCTCCTCCTGTGTTCCTTCCCCTCACAGCAGAGGGGAAAGTACATGCCAGCTCAGCTTGCCTCGTGCTTCACAGCACTTGAAAAGGTACACTGCCAGAGCAGGTCCCTCCAGGGCAGCACTGCCATCCCTCTTGCCTTCACTGCAAGGCACACTGTGAGTAACATACAGAGGCTAAACAGACTCTGAGAGGACCTCTTCTTTTTCAGATGGCCTCTTAGGTCTCTGCACTGTCCTCCCAAGCTGGGCTTCAAAAAGGTAATGGGCAGAGGAAACAGAGGGGAAAGTAGAAAGAGTTAAAAAGGGTGTGAACAAGGAGCAAAACACACTGCCCACTCTCTGGAGGTCAAGACAACAGAGAACATCTGCTTATTACAGCCCTGTCTTTGAGAAAGCACTTCAAGAGTAAAGGAGCAATTTAGAAGTACCTCACCGTGGGTTCCCGAACAAGCACACCTTATTGCCAGAGACAATTACTGTATCACTTTTGTTTTCTAGAGGAGGCTCAAATAGGATACATGGTAGCTGCTGAGGAACACCTACCTTCCCAGGAGGCATACAGTCCTGCTCTGCAGGAGCTGTTAGTTAGAAATTGAAGCACAACCATTAGAGTAGCAGAAGCAAACAAAGGGGAAGACAAGGTAAAACTTGAAGACTATTTGCTGTTGTCAAAACTGATTCCTTTCACAAGCCCCCAGAGCCAGCTCGGAGGGCAGAGACCTGCTTTGTTGACTCTACCAGAAAGCCAACCTACAAGGTCCACCTCAACATTCGCTGCAGACGAAAGCACTTGAGAGAGGAAGGCTGCCACACAAACACCTGCGTGAGTATGTGACCAAATAAAATCATGCCCTGCGTGGATGCCACACGTGCGGGCAGCGGTGTATGCCAAGGTTCCAGCGTGTGCCACAGCCCCAGGGTGGCTCTTCCCACCCTGCCATGCCAGCCGGAATTCCACAGCCGTGGCTGTACCGCAGCAGGGATGGCCAAGGATGCCACGAGCCGCCTCCTCTGCCCGGGCAGAGGCACAGTCCGAGCTGCCCGGAGGGGCCGGGGGCTGCGCCCGGAGGCCACCGCCGCCCGCACCGCGGGCACGCACCCAACCCCGGGGGAAGCGAGGGGAAGCAGGGAGGGATCCCAGCCTGCCAGCACGGCTTCGGGAGGTAGGAGGAACGCGTCCAGCCCAAGACAGAGCAGTCTGGAAGAAAAGAGAGAAAGAGCAGACAGGCACGAAGCGAGACTCGGCTCCCGACCCTTGTACCCGGAGGGCGCTGGTCCCGCGGGGCCGGGGGAGCCGAGCTGCCCGAGCGCGCGGCCGCCGGGGCCCGCCCGCCCAGAGACCCCCCGCCCCGCCGGCTCCGGGCAGCGGAGCCCCGCCGGGCCCCAGCCAGCCCCACCGCGCCCTTACCGCGCTCCGTGCGGGCGAGGCGGCGGGAGGGGACGGCGGGTCCCGCCGGCGTGGCAGCCGCTTGCGGCGGCCGGGACATGTTGGGCGGGCGCTATTTATAGGCGGCAGGAAGCGGCGCCGCGGCTCTGGGGCGCTCTCCCGCGCCCGCACAATGCCCCGGGCCGGGCCGGCCGGGCGCGCGGTGGTGCCCGCCCCCGTCGCCCGGGGCTGTGCCCTCCGCGCCGCTGAGGCTCCCGCGGGGTGGTCTTTCCCGGGCAGCGAGGGAATCTGGTGGTGGCCGTGCCCCCGCCCGCACCCACGGTCCTCCTGTGCCCGGGGGCAGATCACACCGGTCGGAGTTACAGAGGTAGCCCCCTTACAGGGAGATGGGTCCAGGATCCCGAGTGCCAACGGCCTGAACCGTGACTTTGGGAGCTCTTCCGGGGACTCATCCCGTTCAGACCCTCACCGGTTCCCCGGACACGGATGGCCTCACCCGCAGGGGCAGCTCTGCATTCCGTGCCCTCTTGGCCGCCGCTGCCCCCTTGTCGGGGAGCGCCGGAGGGCAGAGATGTGCTGGGCTCCCCTGCTCCGCAGGGACAGCCCCAGCCCCTGCTCTGCTACGGGACAGCCGCCCGCCCGCAGGCTGGGCACAGGGCTCCTCTCACCCCTGCTCACGCTGCCCCACTCGGCCACAGAGCTCTCCACACGCCTCGTTTTCCCTACGTGCCTCCGATGGCCTTGATGGCAGCCAGCAAGGAAGGGGTAGCGGAGCCTGGGGAGTGGAAAGGCAGCAGGCAGACATACAGAGTGGAGTAGAAACGTAATAAAACAGTGGGAAAGAGGTACTTGCTTTTTCCCTGTTAAGGTTTGCAGTGTACCGAGGTGTGGGAAGGTCAATTACCCCTCTCTACGTGATGCCCCAGAAGATATTTGTGCTTCATTCCTCAATTAACTCACACAGAGATTGCTTTGCCAGACAACCAATAGAATCTGCTCCCTTTTCCCTCTCAGCTTGACTAAGTTTTCTAGAAGCAAAATTTCTGTTAATCTTTTTAGGTCCAGCACTGAAGTTTTGAATGGAAAAATGCCCAAAGTATATGTAATGGAGTAGCTTGTGCATATAGGAGCAAGCATTGAAGGGCAAGAGCTGTGTGCTTAGTGTCTATTTGAGCCAACACATCGATCTCACATGTTTTTGTCTCTGTAGGATTTTACATTTTGGAGGTGTTGGGATGTTTTTTGTTTATTCCATGCATAGACATGGTGCAGTCCAGCAGCTACATAACACTGTTATCTAAAACATATGAATGTTAGGGACAGATGTCCTGAAAAACTTAAATATGCACTTCATTCACTTGTAGCAACATGTCCCAGCAAGGTCAAAGACTGAGTAACCTGTGTGCTAAGCTAACCTGCTGCAACTTACTTTCATGTTTTCATCAGGAGATGAGCAGTTGCCTAAAGGCACAGCATTATGGTGAGACATGCTGTCATAATGGCATTACTGATCAGCCATCAGTGTAAGATTGGAAACCTTGCCAGGCTTTTATATAGGTCATTTCTCTGTTTTTGTGTCATTGCATGGTTGGAGTATTCCAAGACGGACACAAAAACTGGTACAATTTTTTATGTCTACCCTTTTCTGACCCATACACACAATGTAGATTAGCTTGCAAGCAAAAATTATGGTGCTCACAAATAGTAAAACTGCAGGTAGTCTGTTTACTGCTTTTACAGTCCCAAAGCTCTCTAAAGAGGGTCACAAATCCACATGAGGTTCCCAAACACAGCATACAGCATTTGGGTCATTGGTTAGCTGAACAGTCATGTAGAGGCAAACAACTTCCTCTTGTCTACATACTGGGGAAATACTATGTGGTGTGTTTATTCCAGGCTTATGGGATAAGAAGCAAACACTGATACAGATCTCTTGGCTGTTAGAAGTTGGGAAGATGTGCTGCAATGGGAAATCTGTGCTGAGATGTCAGGAAATGGTGACCCTTCTTGCTAGGAAACAGTTGTCCCTTTATGGGGAGTCCACTGAGTGGCCCATCATCACTGTGCTGCAGTAGCCTACGAACTCCTTTGGACTCTTGCCTGCTGGTCAGGCTGGCCTGTCCCATGGTAACAATGAAATTGTTCTGTCCTTGCTGTAGACAATCCATCTGCAGCCAGGGGGACTCAGCAGGGCTCTTGCAGTGAGCATGGAAATGCTTGCCTGCAGGTTGGTTGTTTTCCATAGCTGTGTCAGTCTTTTATACTTTATCAGGGAATTAAGTACATTTATTTTAGATAATCTTTAGCAAAGCAATGCATGATTGCCCCTTCTATGGTTGGGACTTCACTTTCAGAAAGAGAGAAAGTACTTCAGAGTTTTGTTAGAAGTCAGTGTCTGTGCAACATTCAGCTGAGAGAAGCTTAGGAGACTTTGTATGGGTTTCACAATTTTTAAGAGAAAGAGAGAGGGAGAAAATTTATACCCAGGAGCATGCCTAGTGGCCTGGAGGCTGTGCTAGACTTTGACTAGCACTAGTAAACATATGAAAACGTGAGGTCTTGTGGCTGGGTTCAAAGAGAACAACCTTCTAAAAGTGTCCAAAGTCAAAAACATTTCTGATGTGCTAAGCTATCAGTGACTTTAAAGGTGGCATCTTGCATGCCATCATACCAGAAAACAAACCTTTCAGGGAGGTAATGTGCTCCCTTTCTCCACTAGCAGCATAGTGTCCATGTACTTTGTGGGTCCTGTGTTACACGTACTCTCTCTTGTCCCGCTGTCCCTACCTGCTGTGGTTTGCTGCAGCTGTGGAACAGAACTGCTGGGTCAGCATGCTGATGAAACTCACACTGCTTTCACACATCTCTGGAGAGATGACCACAGCAAGGAGGTTGGCAGCAACTTATATCCTGGAGCAAAAAATGAGTACTTATCTTACAATTGCCTGAAAAATAACCTGACTTTTTAAAAGCTCAAACTGAAGGAGGCTGCAGGACCCAAGCACCAGTGGCAGGTGAATGATCACACCTGGCACACATAAGCTCATAATCAAGCATTTGGAGTTCAGTGAGTGTCATTTTTCTGTTCTCTCTCTTGATCAGCTCAACTACATTTTACAAAGCCAAGATCCTACTGGCTGAATAGACAGAATGAGGACATTGGGTTCAGCTTAGCTGTCTGATGACAATGGAGAGCAGCAGCCTGTTCTGATTACAGACTCACGTAGAGGTGAAACTGCTCCCTTGGACCCGGTACAAGATAATGGACTTTAAAAACTCAACCCCCTCGGAAGGGTCAGGTGTCTTGAAGAGCAAAGTGCCAAAGGGGAAAGAGATTTGAGGGTGACTGCATCTCTGAGAGCTGCATATCCATGACACAGTAGAGAGAAGCTGAGGGTCAGCTAAAGGGATGGGAAGGGGAAAGTTAACTGTCACATGGATTAAAAATTGGAAAGAGAATCAGACTGAAAAAGATGGAGATGTTCCAGGGAGCTATTCCATTAAGGACATAAATAGGGTGTTATCAACAAGTTCAAATTAAACAAAAGCAGCTTTAGTAGCAAGAAGATGGCAGTGAAAAGAGAGACTAGTTAACTGCTTAGGGTACTATCACTATAAAAGCAACACCTTCTCACCCAGAGGCCACTGGTCTACCTTCATTTAAATGAGATCTGCTTACTTCAGCACCATGGTGTTTGCATGTCATTACTTTTTATATTTGCTAGAAAAATTTAACAATGAGTGTGTGAGGCCTGCTTCTTGTTTTGCACATCATGAGAATTGTTAGTTAAAGCTCAGAGCTGAAATGTGCCTGTTTAAGGAATGAGGCAACAGAGATGCCTGTGTGGGTTGCATGAGTATTACCAGGGTCATCTCTCCCTGGGGCTGCTGGTTCTACCTATGTAGGAGAGAGGAGAGTTTAGTGCAGGGAGAGACCACAGTAAATGAGAAATCATTAGACAACATACACTTATGCATTGACAGCAAATTATCTGTGACCGTAACAGAACATTTAAAACATCCAAAGCTACTATTTTAGTAGTAGTTGAGAAGAAATAGTCTGCATGTAGATAAGGGTACTCTTTCAGTAGATGGATACTCATAACAGAGGATGCTAGTGGTGAGCAAGTGGTTTGCAAGAGAAACGTATCACAAAGATGATTTAGGAACAAAATAGAGGCTGGTACAGTCTGAGTATTCAAAGCAAAGCAAAAACAAAAAAAAAAAAGAAAAAGAAAAAGCGTGCTTATTGATGCTTGGAGAACCTTCTGTTTGGAGAGTCAGAGTACAATGCCCAGAATCTGCAACCTAAGAAGAGAAGTTATTAACATTTATTTTTGCCTGGTGTCACATCTTTTGAGACACAAGTAGTTCATCAAGACTCAGAGTGATAGGAAGGCAGATTTGCTACGCCTATAAGACAAATCAAGCCATCACAAATGAAAATTTTTGAATAAATAATTTCAAAACTTTTTCTGAGGAAGTGGAAGGAAAACACTGGTAGATAACTGTGTATGAAGAGAGCTGGAGAAGCAAGCAGGCAGGTACAAGTGTGCATGCATGCATCCTGGCACACACATAAGGGGAATCGGGAGGCCAAGACCCAGATCTGACTTGGGGAAGCTGAATAAAGATACTGTGGATGCTCACCATGAATCTTATTACTTGATGCTTATTTTTAATGCTAAGATTCAACCACATGCTGCTCTAAGAGGATTGTTCTGTCAATTTTAGTGCCACTCACAGGCTCCCAAATTAAATTCCAGGTACCATTGTGCTGCAGCTTAGCTCATCATGAGCAGGGACCTACGTGACTCCCCACGAGGGCTGAAAGCTGGGAAGTCACACTGAAGATAACCCGAGCTGCAGCAAACACTCCCTCTGTCAGCAGAGGTTTCACCCAGCATACATCTTCGGCAATCGTTTACAGGGTTAATGATCATCCAGGGAGGCAAAGATTACCATCCTTTAAACCAGAAGAGCTGAGCAGAGTGCTACAAGTGATCAATTGCCTCAGACAAACTGTTTTCTTAGGACTGCATCTCTCCAAAATATTTTCCAGCAAACACTACGCAATGATGGGAGTGTTGCACAAGTGCCTAATTTTCCCTACAGTGTTTCAAATGCCTGTTCTCTGCAGGCATGACACATTCCTGTAGAGTATTAATATAATACAAATTAATTTATTAAACTCACAGCAAATTATTTACAGCTGTTAGCAAAGTAGTCCTCTTGGCTTGGACAACCAGCTGGGAATGATGAGTAACTTGTCGCAGTTGCCCCACCTCTCTTTATTTATTTTTGAGGAAAATAGGCAGCACTGCTAGTATTGCCACACCGTAGTATTGAAATACACAGAGGCTTCTTGCTTACTAACCCCAGCCGTCTTTGGCCAAAAGCAGCACTACTTTGCTTTAGCCACCAGAGTGAGCTGCTGCTCAACTTTTGAATAAAGTTTGGGTAATTATTTGTGTTGCTCGGAAGAAGTGTCCTGTCATTTTTGTCGTATATAAGTACAGCTAAGATCCACACCTTCCCGTAGTGTTATGAGAGGAGTAATTTGTGACCCTGCCAACACAAAAGCCACAGAGCAGATAATGAAACCAGCTTGAATGCTAAAGTTGGATACAGATTTACAGCTCAGCTAAAGCTTATTACACTGCTATTGACTTCACTGGAACTGTATCTGTTGCTTACAAAGTCAGACAGTCTTATTAATACATTAACATTTTTAATAAATGGTAAAATGGATCAAAACCTGGCTGACAGCCATTCGAGTTTACCAGTGATATAAGTGTTTCTTTTTGGCAATGAAATACCACTGAGCAGCAGCTCAAAAGTGCTAAGTATGGAGCCTTACGTTTTATTGTCCCTGCTCTTTCCCAGCAGTGAAACTTACAGAGTCTGCCCAGATTTTGATAGTTATGATGCTTTCAGATGTTCAGAGTAACAAATAGTTTCCAGCTCACATTCATCCTTGCTGATTTAATTCAATAAGTCGACCAGCAAATACAGCTAATGTTCCTATAAAACAAACCAGCATAAATATGCCAAGGAGAAGATGATCAAGCACCATCGCAACAAACTTCCATTCTTCTGCAGCCTGGGAAAGAAACAAAGGAGATGGTAAAACCTCTGCAGAGCCATGTTTATTATGGGCATTCTTTTAATGTGCTGTCTTGAACAATGGTAAGGCTCTTCTATAAGTTCCATTATTGTTATGCAAAAAATACTCATTTTCTTCTCAAAAGCAGGTCAGTGGTTAAGAAAGCCTAAGCAACCTAGAAATAGAAGTTTCAACACTAAACTGACCAGAAACCCTGGCAATTTGCTGACCAATTAAATTTTAAAAAATGTTAAGAAGCTTAATTTTTAGGCCAATGGTTGCTTCTGAAACAGAGTTTAAACTGTTGAAAGCAAAAACTTTATTTTGACCCAACTGACTTCGGTTTTTCCACTGTGTTTTCCTTCTTGTGGGATATCTAGGCAATTTCCATTAATTTAACTCTAATCCCTGCTTTCCATGCCTAGTATATACTCTAAGGTCTTGTAAAACCTTCTTGGTAGCTCCCTTAGTCTTTTTTCCAGTTGTGGCACACTGTGAACCACTTGCTCTGTGACAGCCTTTTCACTGCATGCCTTTGCTGGGAACCCAGAATGGTAAGGCTGAGCAGAGTGTGAGGCATGAAGTACAGCAGGGCTCAGGATTTCCACCCTGTAACTCTGCTTTAAGCAGTGACACGTGCTGGCCTAAAGCACCTTCTACTTTTGCCTTGGTTGTCCCACAAGTAGAAGAGGCTGTTGTAATTATCTAGAGGATACTGATGATGAGTACTGGCTTGAGGTGGTTCATAAGTGAATACAATGAAGCAACAGCCTTCAGAAGCCATAGCTTTCAGTTCATTTGGGGAACTTGACTTTTGAAACCCCCTGGAAGTGATATCAGCACAAGCAGCTGGGCTCCACTTCCAAAGGGGGCACTTGCTGGTAACCTGAAGATCCTCCTTGTAAGCCTAGGAGAAAGTGAAGTCCAGGGATGCTGAAGTCACGCCAGCCCTGCTGAGAATAACACTTTATCTGCAGAGGGGCATAGGAGTCATGGGGAACATGAGACTACAGCCAGAGTCATTCCACATGCTCCAGGAATTTGGTTACAGGAACAAACACCGTGGTGTAAATCCTGTCCATGGGAAGGAAGTGCCTCCTTTTCAACAGCATGGGCCAAATTATTTTCTCAGAGAACTCTCCCTGTCTTCAGGCTAGCCTGCAGCCCAACAGGAAAGGACTGACTGTTTAGAAGGGTGAAGTACCAAGACTGAATTACTTCTGCAAAAGCTGTGTGAGCTGTGAAAACTGAAATAAATGACGGGTTAATTGTGTCAAATGTGCTAGAAGGAGGCAGAACTAGATTTTCCTGGGGAACACTGCCATGTGTGACTCTATATGCTTTTATCCTTCCTTTGGCTTGCAATGTGGAAAAAGTCAGTAATCAGAGTAGCTCATGACGTGCTTCATTTGGAGAGACTACTTGTAACAGTCAGGAATAAAACAAAACCTTTTCAAAATTGGAATTATCATTTTTAAGTTACATTTAACACTTCTCAGATAAAACTGCTAGTCTTTTGGAGTTTGGCTTGCTTCCTGTTTTTTCAAAAGCAATAGGATCTTGCTTACCGCAGAGGGAAGATGCCCGAGTGGGAGACGGGAGGAATGTGTTTTGGAACTTGCTTACAGTTCTTGAAATTGCTTTCCCGCTCACAGACACTCCATGTCTACGGCTTCACATACCACATTTAGAAAACCTTAGTACTGACACTTTTTTTCCTTTCTCTTATTTTGGGGGGCCAATATTCAATTACCATCTGTGACAATTATCTGTCTCTCCTTTTTGACTGTATCAAGGGGAGAAGACTGTCCACTGCTAAAGCCAAATCAGGGCTTGGAGTGTTTTCGTAAGGCAGGGATATTTTGCCAAAAAAGTAAAATGTAGCAATTTGAAAGCTAGAAATGAATCATGCACAAAAAATGCCTTACATTACTGGCTTCTTGGTCCGATTTCATCGTTTCCGCAATGTATTTGATTCCCTCTATAGCATTTTTCACATCTGGATTTTTGGTAAGCGGGGAGTAGAAGTTGACAGGCACAGAGCCTGACTTCCCGGAAATGTCAGAAATATCAATATCTTCTGCAAAAATATTTCTGTCTTGTTTATCCCTGGATGGTCGTTTCATTGTAGAGAAAAACATGACGTTTGGGATTGTGTCAATAAAGATCTGAAAACAAAGAGGGAAGATGACAGTTTCTGGTCTGTGGGGCTGTGTTACAGATGCAGCTGTGTGCTGAACAAAGACAAGTCTCTCTGCTTCCAGATCGCTTCCCGTGCTGGATCTGCTACAGATTCCCTCTCGGAGTATGTCACAGCCCACGCCTCAGTTTCACTGGGGCTTTTGTCAGCCTCCTGTCCTGGGGCAGAGGGAGTCACCCGCAGGCCTGCCACACCATTTCTTTAAAACATTTCCCCCTGCCATACACCCAACATCCACACATGAAGTGGGAAGCAATGCTCTGGAACAGACCCTCAGCTAGCATGAGCTGGCAGAGCTTTGTTCATCTCATCTAATTTGAAACATATTACTTACAAATCTGACTTGAAGAATAGACTACAAAGAACCTCTTTTGGCTACTTACATTTGACTTTCCTATTACAAATGTTTGATATACATGCATATAAGGCTTACAATAAATTCCTTTGGAGTGACAGAGGCTTGCTGCCAGAGCAATGTTAAGCACATACTCTGTTTGCCTGTTGAAATTTCACTTCTGCAGGGATTATAAGACTGCAAAAGGATCTTATATAAGCTGTAGCCTTATATAATTAGAGATACACAGAACAATCTCCTTCCATTTCATGGTTTAGTATGAACACAGGCAAACTTCAGAGTGGCAAGAATTACTGAATGGATCAGACAATTTTTGGTACTGTTTCCCTGGAAAAGAACTTGTAATGACAGACAACCAATTTTTTCTGCATCTCGTGGTTACCATTTAGACTCCTGTGCAAGGATGTCCTCTCTTCCCAAGGGCTGCAGAGCAGCTGTATACTGGAAAAGTACAGAGAAGATTGTTTAGCTTTTGCTAAACTGTCTTTTGCGAAACAGGATGCTGAACTCAGGTATTCCTAATGGCCTTTGTGCTCTACACTCACACAGGCCAGGGACTTGGCCACTGGCAGGCAGCAGTGTCTTGCAGTCAGATGGAGAATTAGACCAGGAAATGTAATATGAGTCCAGATGGACATTTTCTTTTCCCTGTACCTTCAGCTGCCCATGTTTTGTCTTATCTGTTCCCTGCAAGACTCTACCCCAGGGGACAATTGTGTTACTTACAGGAGCACTTTAGTAGTCTTGCTGACTTTATGCACAGCTAAGTAGTAAACACCAGCTCTTGTGCCTAGAGACATTTAACATGATGCATTTACTTCCCCAATTCTTGTTGACTTTTATTAGAAAGCCTGCCAATAATATATGGAGCGTTCAGTGGGAACCAGCAAACATGCAAAGCCATAGAGCTCACCTTCCTGACCCAGTGTGGCATGGTGTGAGTGCTTGGGGAGCGGTGGTGGGTGTTGATGACAATGACCGTGATGATGATTGAAGCGATGACAAACACCATTGTAAACAACATGTATTTGCCTATCAGAGGCACTGCACTGGAGGTGGAAGGGATCAACTCCACAATGACCAGAAGGAACACAGTCAAAGACAGCAGGACGGAGATGCTGAGAGTCATTTTCTCACCTGCCACGAAAACAAAACAAACAAACAAAAAAGATAATACCTTTAGTGCTCCTATCATCTGGTACAGAAAGTATTTATTTAAGATCCAGGATGTGGATGATAGCTGTTCACAAAAATACAGGTGTGCATTTGGAGTGCTATGGTCTCTGCTGGCATCCAAAACGGTAACTAGGCTGGACAAACCTCAGAGCCTAACAGAGCATCAACTCCAGCACAAAGGTGGGAATTACCAGGTAGGGCTGGGCTGAAGTGTGGGTGAGAGATATGGAAAGTTTACTTGCCAAGAGCATTTCATTACTTGCCAGGGCTGTGTATTTCCAACAATGCAGTATATGCACCTAATTAGCACTTGCTCCACAGCCTCCTGGGAGTTTGCTTGCATTACTCTCTGGCTCTGGGCTGAGAGAGCAGACAAAAAATCACATATGACACCAGAGGTCAGTTGCTATTTGAGATCTCCCAGTATGTATGTAGGGTGTCAAAAATGAACCATAAAACATTATTCACACATTTTTTTATCCAGTTCAACTTTCTAGAAAGTATTCCACTGAAGAAAAAAAAATCAATTATTTCATAAGAAGGGACTTACTAAAATCAAGCACTGTGAAAAGCTGACAAAAGGTAAAAGGAATGAAGCAGAGGAAATGGTTGCAGGGAGCACAAGCTGCTCAGCAGTGACAAAGGAGGCCAGAATAGGCCAGGATTACTCTCTGTGTCAGACAAGGTAATGTGTGTGAGAAGATAACAAGCTCTCTGCTCTAACACGATGCAGAAGGGCCTCAGTCACCCTTGTGTGCTCACTTACTGCATGATGTACTAACACCCTGACTACCTATCTATGACAAAATATAAAAATTAACCAGCTAAATCTTTGGTTTTCAGAAGTTTACTGGATAGTTAATCAGCAATTTCTGTGAGAAAGCACCTCAAATTATTTCTATGAATAGTTTCAGCTTTTGGCACTTATCCTTTCTTTGCAGAATATTTAGAGCCATTACTTTCAGTGGAAATGTCCAGTTTTTGTGTGCACTAGCCTTGAGGTTGGCTAGTGATTTCAAATACTATGAATTTCTCAGGAATTTGTTAGAAGAGCAATTTCTATGGCAGTAGAATGAATAAATGTACGTACCTGAATCTGTGGGTAGGTAAAAAACTAACCCTGTTAAAAAGGAGAAGAGCAGGCAGGGGATGATGACGTTCACGATGAAGTAGAGAGGCAGGCGTTGCATGAGGAAGTGGTAGGTGATGTCCAGGTAAGGGGTATCAGGACAGCAAGCATAGTAAACCCAGTGCTTCCAGCCACGGTAATCCTTCATCACCCACTCCCCGCTCTCCATGAAATTACTCAGATCTGGACGATCACTCTCCTGGCAGCAAAATCCCAAACAAATTCTTAATACCAGATGTTCTGAATCAAATCAAAACTTGGCACATTTGGCTCAGGAACAGGATTCCAAATAACTCAGGCACTTCATGATTTTTTGTGAGCAAACCACTCTTGTCTGTGTTATTTTGCCTTAGAATATCAGCCTCTACACAGCATTCAAGTCAATATTTTACAGTTAAGGACAGTAGACTGAATAAGTATTACAAATAGGAGGTGTACCTCAGGGGCCAGGGAAAGAGTCCTTGGCAATGGAAAGTCATGAGTGGAGAAAATGCAGCCCCCAAAAAACCCAAGGAAACAAACAGAGGCAGGACAGGCAGCACCATAAGGAGCAGTGTGAAGCTGATGGAGGATAGACAGGTAGGAGACTGTTAGGGCCCAGGAATTATACGTGTGCAGAATTTTAGAAGCCAAACCAGGAAATACTGTCCTGGATATACAAAAAGGGCTTTTCTATTTTACAGGTAGTGCCTGCTTGTTTTTCCAGTCAAAATGAGATCATATTCCATTTTAAATCTGAGATTTCCCTAAAAACATACTCAGGTCTTTACTGCTTTTCCCAATTACAAACTCCTTGCTTACCGGGTTAATAACAACCATTGTGCCATCATATGTCCAAGTTCCCAACTTCATACTGCAGTTCTGCTCGTCAAATGGGAAGTGTGTGACTATAATTTCACAGTAACTCTTAAAAATAGCTGGTGGTGTCCAGGTGATCAGACCTGTGTGCTCCAGAAGGACTTTGGTGTATTTTACTATGGCAAAATCACCATCTGCGCTGCAAAAGGAACAAGGACATTAACAGCAATATGGGCAGCATAACTGACATGGTCACAAAAGGATTTCTGCCTGTGGGTCAGCTCGTCCCCCAGTGCCATTGCCCCTTCTCCTGGAGAAGCTTGCTCTGAGGAATACTACCCACTGGATCAGATGTTATGGGAAAACTGCCCCACCAAAGTGGGGCCATGGGGCAGAGCTCCCCCTCCCACCCTCCTTCCCCAGGCAGCTGGCACTCCTTACTTGTTGTAAAGAACAAGGTCTGGCCGCCAGATATCATCCGAAGGGATGCGGATTTTTTTCACGCCACCATAGTCGTCTGGATTCCACTTGAGGTTGACATCTATCCATTGCTAAAGAGGGAAGATTTCAGTCCCTGAAAACCTCTTCTAGCACTTCTGGGGGTAGTTTTAGTACTTCCTAGAAACAACACCTCCCTTGCTTCAGGATATGCAGGTAAGCATAAATATGTGGGAGTGGGACCCCCAGCACATTTTTTCATTAACTTAAATTTTGGTTTAAGAAACTTATTAAAAAAACCCAAAAAGTAAATAATACAAAAGATAAATATATTAGAAGTCTACTATTTGAAATACAGTGCAAAACGTTTTTCTTAAGACTCTTAGTGTCTAGAGCATTTTATTATTGAGACCCTAGAAAGAAGAAATGCTTTGCTAGCTGACCCCACCTGTCCAAATTGCCCCTGAAAGTATGGCAGAGTAATTAATTCCCAGCTGTGTCCAGTGTGTTTATTTGAATTAGGTGAAATGGTTGAGAATATTTAGAGTTACCTGTTTCAGGCGTACATTGGTTGTCACAATCTGATTTACTTCATCCTTAAAAAAAAAGAAAGAAAAGAAGGAAGAAAATAAAAAAAAAAAGAAGGCAGTAACAGCAAACAGAATTAAAGGAGAAAAATTGTTTCCTTAGAAAGAAAACCCACTTTGGCACTGTCACATAAGCCAGCTGATCAACATGTACCACACATTCATACCGTACCACGCTAATCAGCTGGATGAGCTGCAGCCCGACGGTGACGACGACGGCGTCCCGATGGTCCTCCACTGGGCGCACCACCTTGTTGTAGTCCCTGAACAAGTCCTCAACAAGGCGAGTCTCGTGTTCGTAGCACAGGGTCAGCCCAGCTGCAGAACAGCAGGGGTGGCACCAGTGAGACGGGGCAGGGAACAGGCTACAGCACCGTCAGACTGAGGTGGGCATGAAGGAAATACTGACAACACCAAGCTGCTGCTGGGGGGGACTCCTCATTTCAGACATGCACTATGTGCACTGCAAATGCCATCAGTGGGGGTAACTGCCTATCTGATTTGGGTACAGCTTAGGGGTTGGAGGCAACAACAGCCTCCAACCAGGAGATGAACAAAACCAAATAGCCAGGATTGTGGACATCAGACTGAGCATTAGAAATCTCCTCCAGGATTTTCCAGCCTGCAACTGTGCTAACATGCAATAATTGTGGACAGTTAAGCAGAGAGAATACACAATATCAGGGACTTCTAATGTTGGCTTCTCCACCTTCAATTCCACAGACTTGCCTGTGACAGTAACATTAAAGGAGAGGGCCAGCACATCAGTCATTGAGATGAAATCACCACCCAGACTCCTTGCATCTGCAATCTGAGCAGAACAAGAGCTCCTCTCCCTGATGGGAGTTGCTCAGGTTGTGCAGGTAGTGAGAGAAGAAAAACCATTCACTATGTGGGCTCTATTTCTTTCTCCTCACGGGAGGTCTCAACCTGTCTGTAGACAGCTCTGCCCACAGGCTGCTCAGTGTGACTTGGCAGTGCTGTGTCAAAGAGCCCTTGTAAGAAAAACGTCACAAGTGAAAATGGCAGGGAGCAGTTCTGTTCCAGTGGAACCCTCATAGTATCTGTGCATGGCATTGCCCTCCCAAGGAGCAAGGGCACAGAAAAACAGACGGACCCCATTTTGAGAGACCCTGTGGCAGAACACGCAGGTACATGATGTGCTCAGCTTGTGGCTGCTTCACTGTTACAGGGGAGTAAAGCAAAGGGAAGAGCTGCTTGGGGATGTTTTTGTATGTATCCCCTCCTAAACGTAGTGAGAGGGAACAGAACAGTTGATCCTTGCTGCAAGCATTTCTGGCAGATCCCACCCTTGCCTCCCCCTCTCAGTTGAATCCTGGACCATTGAAGTCAATAAGAATTTTAGTGCTGACTCCAACCTAAGCCAAGATTTCCCCTTGTTTCCTAACTGACTTTTCATCAGCTTTTATATAGCTGAGATTTCCAAGGATTCTGTCTTGGCCTGGTCCTGCTATGAGATTATATTAAAATACTTGGATGCCAATGAGAAAAACCTGTCACAGACAGGCACTGCTTTTTCCCCCGCCAGAAAGGCTGGGCTATGGTGGTGGGAGTCATCTTTCAATTTTTAAGTTATGATCACAACATCACATCTAATTCAAACTCTTTGCTATGCTTCATTAATCCGATTAAAATTGCCCCCTTCTGGTGTGCCTTGGTAGGAATTTAGTATACTGCTTGAATTCAGTAAAAAATTTTTAGGATCACAAAATAGTTATTCTTTTAAAGGACAGTTTAAAAAGAATTATCTTGGTACAACACATGCAGCTGCAAATCAATTCGACCTCTTTATCAGTCATTCCACAACATAATGAAATTTCTTGTAAAAACTTTTTATATTCCAAGCTGTGCTAAATAGATCCTTTCATATATTTTGAAATACATGTAGCACTAGGGTAGATGGGAGCAATTAAATGCAAAACCAGAAAAACAATTAAACCTAGAATCTCAAGTCAAAATATCTGGTGCCTGAAATTAGAAATATCTGAACTGCTAATGCACTCCAAAGCTCTCCTTTAAATTATTTGGTGTGTTCATAAAACTTTATCAGTAGGACAGGCTGCTCCCAGAACACATATTCACTCATTCTGACGTATATGCAAAGCCCTGGTCCCACACATTCAGGAAGGAGATGACCCCTTTCAAGGTTGGAACACCTTTACCTGCAGAGATAAGGAGGAGTATGTGATGGACCTTCATCATCCCAGCTCCCTCTTGCTGCAGTCATACAGATGAAGGCACGCACAAAGCACCTTTAAGGTCTGTTCAGAGGAGGGCTGTGCTGCCTCCTGCCAGGGTGCTGCCAAAATATAACTACCAGAGTATTGATTTACAGCACCTGTTTTGGGAATGACAGCTGAGGGCCCCTGCACCACCGGGTTGGAAATGGGAGCACAGTGTGTTTCACCAGACAAATATCTTCTGCAGTTTACAAAGGTCATTTTTTCTAAGTGGCAATGTGATCTGTGACTTAATAAACAAATAAATCCACAAATGAAGCTAAGGAAGAATTATCTGTAAGTAACTGAACATCTCAGTGAGATCTCAGAAACTTTCTGAGCTGAAGACCCAAAGTTGTGTGTCACCCTTTTGAATAGAGCAACTTGCCAGATTTAGGATTTTGTTTCTCTGAGAGAAAACAGATCACAGTCATTTATTTCTGATACACCCTCAACAGCATATAGACGACATGCTGGGTTGAGGCTGCTCACTTGGCCTTACAGACAGATGGGAAATCTTCAAAGAAGTGAACAAATACATTGAAGAGAGATCCATCTCCTTGAATCTACTGGAATTTTCAGAAGGTACCCAGTGGAGTCCCCACCTTGAAAGCTGTTAACTAACCTTGTAACCTGAAGCAAGAGGGACACCCTCTCTCCCCATCCCACCATCCATGTACTTACTGAACTCATAAAGTCAAATGGTAGGAACACAGCTGGTGGTTTTGACAGCAGGCAGATCCAGTGGATTCCTGTAGGGTATTCAAGTGCTTGCTCTTTATTGCCATAAATCACCTGGAAAAGCAGTGAAAAGCAGTGTGTTTGGTAATAACAATCAGTTATTCAGGCTAACAAAAAAAAATAAGAAACTATGAAGAATTGTCTGTCTATCTATCTATCTATCTCATATATATATGACTGTCTACTCTGAGCTCACCAATATCACTCAGGAACAAAATCTTGAGAGAGATAGTCTTGTGAAGTGTCCAGCAGTTCCTAGGAAAGAAGATGAAGCAAATAGGAATGATGCTGAAAATCCATGATGACCTGAGTGTTCTTTGGAGTTCCAGTCCTCTGGTTTTAAAAGACTTGGAAAAGGCCCGGGAGAAAGTGACAACATCCACAGTACAAACTGGCTTCTGTACCTGGAACAGATAGATAGTATGAACCAGCAGCCTGAAAGAGAAGCCAGAGAGAGCTTTAGTAGAGCCTATAAAATACCACATGGTCTGGAGAAGGCAGATTCGGATTCATTAGTTGTCCCCAGGCAAAAAAGTAGAGGGCATTAAGGGAAACTTAGAGTTGTCAGGCTTAACCAAGACTCTCCTTCACACAGCATGGCTGCAGTGGAGCGTGGTGCCACAGGAGTGTCTGGTTGTCAGAGGTTTGTCTGTATTCAGAAAAAATAGTTTGATAAATTAATTTCAAACTATTAAGTACACCCCCCAGTCCTTCTAAGAAGTCTGTCACAGAAGTCCCAGAATCACAAGTCCAAGGTGGCTGCAGCAGTGTCCTGGGGATATACTGTCTAATGCTTATGCTGTTCTTGTATTTTCCCTAGGCACCTATCATGTAAAGACAGGACATGGCACTGGATCATCTGCCACAACCACTCTTACACACTGTACCAAATTCCCTTTTCCAGAAAACATTGCCAGCAAAAACCTTTCTTAGTTTTGCCTCTGGGTGACACCAGATGCATTTGCTTTTTCTGCTGGGTAGCCTTTGTGCTGGCTGCCAGCTGGTTTGATGTTTCACACTGGATGCCTTTATTATTATTATTATTATTATTTTTAATCAGTCTCCCTCACCCACTCCCCTCCACTAAGTCAGCATTCAGCAGCCAGCATTTACATTTATCCTCCAGTAAAAACTCTCCATCTACATAACTCTGGCCTTCTTCCTAGCTAATTCCCTGACAGCAGCTCCCATTGTTGCACCTATCTTATTTCAAACCAGCGTCTGACTGCTTCCAGCCTTTATCCCAGGCCAGGCAGCTGCCTTGAATAGCAAAGATACAATTGCATGGAGGCATTGCTGGAATGCCGACCATGGCCCTCCGGATCCGTTCAGGGTCTCTCAAAGCATTCCTGCCCACCCCAGGCAGGGCTGGCAGGTTCACTTTGAAACAGATGAAGAAGAGTGTTACCACACTCTGGCAAATTATAGCTCTTGGGTTACATAAGTTTCTGTCCCCCTTCCCCTGAAAAGGTCTAGCTCTTGGAGTCAGCAGGGTGCAGAGTTTGTAGGGGTCCTAAAAAATCTGTGGCTTTAGCAAGGGTTATTTCTTGTGCAGCTGAGCTGAGCACTCCCAGTCTGAGAGTCAGGCACCTGAAAGAGGAAGAGGCAGGTATTTGGAGAAGGCCTTTAGGGAGCAGCAGCCTGGCTGCAAGGAATGTTCCCTGGCAGAGGCACAAGGCCTTTTCCCTCCCCAAAAAAATCAAGGCAACCTGACCTACTGTGGTTAAATATGGACAGAGAAGTGAATGCTGTTTGTTGTTAATGGGGGAATGTGACCCATATGACCGAGGTGAAAAAGCAAGGGGAGGGAACAAGCTACAACTGAGTGCCTGAATTTGATCCATCGCTAGGATGGGAAGTTTTTTTGCCTTCAGAGTATTCAGAGAATTTTTTGACAAATGTTTTACTCCCACACAACCCCCCCCCTTTTTATGTCTATCTTGACTCCATGCTTTCGGGCTTGTTTTTTTGAGCCCCCTCACCAGCTCTCAGACAAACCCACTACCCACCATGCTAACGGCAGACCAGCCTTGTTCAGATTGATTGGAAAGCAGTAGAACTCACTGCTTTCTGAATTTAGGGCATTGTTCCTTCCATCCATGTACAAGAAACAACTGCTGCAAGGCCGCTCCTGCCCAGAGGAAGTCGATCATGAACAAGTGCTCCTACAGGTAGGTCTCTTTGGCAGGGTGATATCGTACAGACACAGTGCAAGCGAACAGAATATCCTAATGCTTTTGACAGAGTGAGGAATACAAGATTTTTAACTGAAATTTTGGTCAAGGAATTGTATGCATAAAGACAATGCCCGATGGAAGAGAGCCAGTGCCAGGGGCTCCAACAGATACGTGGACGACACGGTCTGTGGGAGGGTGGGGGTGATGTGAAGCAAAAGTAAAAGCAGTAAAAGGAACAGAGAGAGATTAGATAGTACATCAGGGAAATTAAAGGAACAAAAGCTGAAAAATAGCACTGTTCATTTAGGGGAGTTAGCTTTCCAATGCAGTATATACCTTTTTTTAATACATTTTTGTATCAGAAAAACGGCACTGTTGGTGACAGTAAATTATGGCAGCACTGGACAAGAGAAGGCAGATGGTTAGACAAGTATCTGTGAGTTTGCCATGTGTTTGTTCCCAGACTGCCCCTGGTTACAGTCATCATGGCACACATTCCTTTCTGGAAGCCCTCGCAGGAGCCCGGCGGCTCGGCTCGATGGCCGCCAGATGGCAACAGCTGGCTGAGGGGATGAGCGGGCACAGGGTGGCCTTTGGGAGCGCCATCGCAAACAGTCCCCGGCAAGAGAAAACAGCGGGAGGACATAGTTTCTAGAAGAAATTCATTCGAGGAACTAGCGACAGTCTTGAGATGCTGAAGGACTGCACTGCCCGTTCATTCCAGTGACCATAAGAATATGCTGAGCATTAATATACACATCAGTAGGTACTGATAAATAGGATTAAATTCCTCAAATCAAGAAATTCAAAGTTGCAGTTTTCCATACCTAGACACACCTCCACCAACTCACAAATATGTTTTATCCCCATGGATATTTGTAGCAAATTTGGTTTCAGCATATATTTTGTTTGTTTCCTTTTACACCACCAAAAGAATTGAAAATACCAAAAACTTGCTCAAAAGCAGTGGTCTTAACCTGTGCAGTTACAGAGATTGCAAGTTACAGCATAGACACGGTGCACGCATCTAATCTGAAGGATGCTTCTGAAAAAAAAGAACTTGAGTCTGGAAAGAAAGAACAAGGAAGAGGTCTGCAGTCAGACAGAGAAACCACAATCACAAAAGACATAGTTACATCAGTTTCACAACTGCTAACTTATTGCAGGTGAGAAGAAACACTGCTCTCCATGCCAGCCCTCATGGTCATGCTTCTCAAACAAAAATGACACTGGCAACAGAGACTCATTTAACCATTTTGGGCAAGGCCGGTGCAGCAGTGAGAATGGAGACAAATAACTGTAAACACAATCAGGAGAGGTGACAGACACAAGCTGAGCAGTCACAAAATGTCCAAGGAATTGGTAAGCAGGCTAGAGTTTCACATGGCCTTTCTGTTATGGACACTCCAGGAAACCAGTCCTGGAGCTGAATAAAGTTGCTGAAAAGAGCAGTGGCATATTCAACCCCAGCTATCACCCCTGACACAATTGCTTCTAGGGCCCCAATCTGATTAAAAGGCTTGTCTCTGGGATCTTGGTGGGTCATACTGGAAAGCCAAACAAGACAACAAAAGAGGACAAGTCCATTAGCTGTGAGGTTTGCACTACCCTGCTCCACTGGTCCATCTCCTCTGGTAGACTTTCCTGCACAGCAGGACTCCTGAGATACTCTGCTTCTGTGGTCAGGAAAATCTCATTCATTCTCAGATGCAGGTAGGTGGCACCTATATTTATTAAAGGCTCTGCCCTTTTTCAGCAGCTCAAGCTGAAAAATGTACTTAGCCTGGCACAGATCATTACTGCTACCTGTTCCGAACTTCATCTGCAATCACCAGCCATGAATTCTCTCTGCAGATGCAGAAAACTCCACAAAGCACAAAAGTCTGGCAGCTGATAGTAAAACTAGGCAGAGAAGGTGGCCTGTATTGCAAAGTTGGGAACTAGGTGGTCACTGCCAGTCCTGACAGTGGAGACATCCAAGGCAGTGTTTAAATGACTGTTAGGCATCTGAGTGCTATGTTATCTTAGCAGTGTCTGCCTCTGGAGGTGGTATTATATCATCATATATTTTTTTGGGTGCACATTCTGATGCTATTTGTAAGTACATAGTGGAGTTACTACCAGCAGAGTAAGTGGAGCCTGGCATTGC